TCAATTCTGCGCAGTTTGAAGCCTTAGTTGAGTGAACAAGTGCCACCGTGTATTCCTTTGATTTTAGAAAACTGCAACTGTATTCTAAAAACCACCAAAAGAAAAACTAGTCATTGTGTCATTGGGTGAAACACTTAACCCACCTCGCCCCCCGTGTCTGTGTACATTGGTGTATGAATTTTTGTGTGGATGAGTGGTTCTTTTATGTAATGTGTTTTGAGTGCCTTGAAGGTGGAAAAGCGCTATATAAAAATGTGACCATTTACCATTTATTCTCAGTACATGTACACTGTCTATAGCAGGGATCACCAAACTTTTTTCTCAGGGGGCCACATTATCACTCTTGACTGTGATGGGCGGCCGTATAACAGAATTGTATGACCCTGACGATGCAGATTATATTCTTTGAAAACCGCCACACTTTCTTTACATATCAGACAAACTGCACGGTCTTTACACTGAACAGCAAAATAATTGGTCGTCCACTGTTCTTTGAAAATTCGGCACTCTCTGTCAACTTTTTGTACTTTAACACTGACCAGTTTGCTGTCCTTATCTGCACTATAAAACTCTGCACGTGCGTTGACTGTCACTGTTTGACCTCGAGCTTTTGACGAAAATTCTGCAGCAAATGTAAATACATCATATAATTATTTAAATATAAATATAAATACTACATATAAATATAATTTTTTTGTTAGGGTTAGAAATCGACAAAATACAAGATGCAGATGTGTTATTATTTGCCAAAAGGTAATGACAACTTTTGGGGATTGCCTCATAGCGCCAGTTCAAGTGGTGGGAGGCATAGGGGCTTGGGTACCTGTCAAAGGGGCATGGAGGTCTTAGTTTGATGAACCCTGGCCTATAGTAACACCATTTATCCATTTTATTCTGCTTTATCCAGGGGAAATTTTATATATGACACCACTAGAGAGGGTATACACTTGTAATTACGCCTCGCCTCAATGTTTTATTTTGCTTTATTCAGGTTAACACTGACAATTACATAAATCCATACTCACATTTTAATACTTCTGCTGTAGTTTACCACAATCAAAATGACAGGCACAGTCTCAACGCACTTGTCTTCAAATGTTGGTTTAAACTTTGATGGTGGTGGTTGTTCGTGTTGGTATGAATTCCCTTGCTCTATCCACCCACAGTTTCCACACCTTCCTCCCTCTCTCCCTCCCTCGAGCCTTCTGTATAGGACTACAGCTCGGCAAAGCAAGCAGAGAAGAAGCTTTGGATGATGGTGAGAACAGTTCAGCTAATGTCAGAGTTCCCTCATGCCCACAGAAGCTAAACTGATATATACGCGTACGCCCACATACGAGGCCCATGTGCAAGGAAACAAACATGGAGGCAGCTGATATCCTTGGCCTATTTACAGAACTGTGCCTTACTGTTTGTGCACTTGACGGAAACATGCTTTGTAAGTGTCACGTTTTAGTTAAAGGGCAAATATTATTACCAGTGAAGTTACATGTGCCCCTTTTAAATGTTTTTGTAAGTTGCACCATTCTATAGTTTCTTTAAAATATCATCTCAAGTCCTATTTAAACTTTTAACTCTAAATTGCTTCACGACTAATCTTTGCGTGGAATACATTGTGCCTCATTGCGTTTTAAATGCACTCAATTTAGGAGCCAAGTTGCCACGGGAACTGGCCTATCCATTATTCCATTTTGCAATTCTTACAGGGAATTATCCACGCTAATAGAGTCAGGGAGATATAGTTAAGTTTTTTATAACATTGCTTTAAAAGGTTCAATCTTAAATAAATAATAAATATGATGTTTTATTTATTTATATTTTATGATTTATTATTTATAATTATTCACTGCCAGATGATTGATAATAAAGAAAATGTAGAAGCAGTTGGCAGACCAAGTTACACCGTGCCCCTTTTATATACAGCATTTAGAAAAAAATCTTTGTTCTTGTAAGTTACTCCACTCTCTAATTTCTTTAAAATACTGTCTGCAGACTCGTTTAATCTTCGTGTGGAATACACTGTGCCTCATCGCGTTTTAAATGCATTCGATTTAGTCAAGCCAAGTTGCCACGGGAACAAGCCTATCAATTATTCCATTTTGCAATTCTTATAGGGAATTATCCACGCTAATGGAGTCATGGAAGCACAGGGACAGAGCAGATCTGGGTTTAAATTAGGTCAGCTTTACTACAGTCTGTGCCTCCTGCCATCATTGTCACTCTTCACTGTGTATGATGGCTAAATGTGGTCCTGCTTTCTCCACTTCTCCTCCCTGTAGCTCTGGATCAAGTGGTACTCCTGAAAATGCTGGAGGAGCTGTTTTCACGATGTGTCAGCCATCTGCTGCCATTAAACCTTTTATCTCAGGCTGTAAAGCACTCACACATGACGTTTAATGTTAATGAATGTGATTAACTGAAATGAGATTAAATTGAGTGCTCAGAGAAAGAAAGAAGATGGAATAAAAGCTTAACTTTAGATTCAACAATATGTGGACTTGCTCTGCTTTTCATACACATTCATAAACATTTGACCTTCCATATTCAAAAGTAACAGTGTGACCTAGGGCATTATATATGGACTCTTTTCTGTAGTTCTAGTTTAGAAATATGTTTTGCTTGTTGAGGCAGTGTAGCAAGACTTAAAGGGTCCATATTACACTTTTTTTTTTTTTCTGATGTTGTTTCCTCATCACAAACATATGTGGAGTTTTGGTTTGAACATGTTGAACACACAAACTCTGCATATTTAGACTCTGAGTTCTTCACTCAAACAATGTCATTTGGTAAAGCAGAAAGCACTCCACTGTGTTTTTAAACTCCATACTCTCACTCATTATTTTAGCCCTGGAATTATTTTGGAGTATTTTGAGTTTTGGATATCTAGACAGAGTAAAAATAAAGGATTACTCAAATAGGTAAACAAAACAAAACACAACTATATATGAGGTAACAACATTATAAAATGACTTAAAGCTCACGATTTATTTATTTATTTTGTGTATTTTAGGACCCTGAAATCACTGATGATAGTAATGGGTAGGTGTAGTTCTGTTAAGAAGATGAAAAGACACCCTCAGAATTTGATGTTATAACCGTCAAAGTAGACATTCATGTTCACATTTCTTAATATAGATAATAAGATTATATTATATATATGCTTTAAATGATGGTTTATTTACTCTTGCAGGTTAAATTTACATATCAGAATATACATTTTAATATGTTCATCTACTAATAAGTTTTGGATCAAATAATCATTGTTTGAAATAAAGAATAAAGTCAAGTTTCTGGCTTTCTAGTACTCAACTTCATATTGTACTATATCACTACTCCTGCTTTCGCTACCACTGCAACTTTCTTGTGTTAAAAAATGTTTTATTTCAGCTAGCTTTTTCCCTTCAAGTTGTTGACTTTACACAATTTTATTTATTCTAGCCACTATTACTATGGGTGCTTTTCAGATTCTGCAATGTGATCATGTCATACTCCCAGATGTGGGCAAGAGCCAGTTTTCCTTAATAATTATATTGTATTTTAATGAAATATCTGCAAGAAAAATTCACAAATGCTGAACCTGATTTCTGTTAGTGACCAGACCAACCTTAACCTCTTATATTACTACATAAACCTGCATTTTAACAGCATTTATTTTAGCTATATCCTCCTCTGTTTTAAATATCACTGGCCTGTAAAATGATGTAATGTCTTCTAAAAACCACCAATACAAGAAAGGATTGCCTCTTTTTCTATCCCATGTTGTGAACAAATGTTATTTTCCATTGTCAATAATAGTATAATGATCCTTGTGTTTGACTGTTGGTTACAGTATTACCCCAAAAATAGACAGAGATTTAATTTATAGGTTCTATAATACACCAAGTTAAGTTAACTGATAATGTTGTTACCTCGTCAAATACTTGGAGTTGTTTCATTCATGCATATTTGCATAGTCCTTTATTATCAGTTTGTCTGCATCTCTAAAACTCACCTTGTGATGTCATGTAGTGGTAGTTTTCATGTTAACTGTTACCTTATACCTTTTGTTGAGTAGAGATTGGATAATTTCAGCCCCTGGAATTGCCAAATAATTTTGTTGGAGGTGTATGGAATTTAAAAACACAGTGGAGCACTTTCTGTATTACCACAGGACATCACAAGGTAGAACAGAGTGTTTACTGTTTGAGAGTCTAAATATGTGTTGTATATTAAATGTGTAAATGAAACAAAACACAACTCCAGGTGTGTTTTTGATGAGGAAAAAACATTATAACATAGATCAGTAAAAAGCATTATATAGACCCAAAATGTATTTACTCATTCAATCAGCTTTCAGCCTATCTTTCTTCAATTGATCCCTTTTAAGCCGGTGTTGCCTCTCTGGGCTGAAACCTGGTGGAACAGAAATGAACAATTGCTCCTTTTGTCTGTAAAATGTGCCATATTTTTGTCCGTCTGTTTATTTTTGTCTGTTTATTTTGTTGTTTCTCAATTCCACTCCACATTCATTTTACATTTGTTTTCAGTCTGAAGGTCATATTTCATGCTCTGCTTAATCTGTTGTGAATGACTCCTCAAATTTGATTGGCCGGCTCTATTTTGAGACTTTGCTAACCAAATCCGCTGTTCTTTTTTACCCCATCTGCGTCTCAGGTCCCTCCCACATCCTTCTCCCTCTCTCCTCTTCCTCTTGTACTGTTATTTGCAGTGATTGCTCCATTTGTTTCCTCCCACTCTGCGTATAGACAAGGCTTGTCTTTACCCCTTTATTCTGTCTTTTTGCTCTCTCTCTCTCTCTCTGCTCCCCCTCCCTTCTTCCATCCATCCCTCGCTCACTTCCCTTCATCCTCTTCCCTCTCTCCACACACTTTACACATTTCGGCATCATTTTTTTCGCTCCGTGGAAATGGAACTCACTCCTGCATTTTCATGATTTTTATGATTATCCTTTGTCATTTTTCCCTGATTCTAAAGCTGGACTCAATATGTTTTATTTCCAGCTTGTCATCATGGCAGGGACTGTACTGTTGGCATACTACTTTGAATACACGGACACTTTCCCAGTCCATGTCCAAGGATTTTTCTGTTTCGACAAATCCTACTCGAAGCCATACCCTGGACCTGAGGACAACAGCAAAGCGCCGCCCGTCTTGGTCTACTCCTTGGTGACTGCGATACCCACTGTGACAGTAAGTTCAAACTTCACATCCACAGGTGCCCAGTGTATCACAATATGACGATGACTATAGAAAGCACGTTTTGCATTTAGGATGACTTCATTTTCCCGTGGGTTTTTGCATGTGGGGTATAAATCGAACGTTGTCAGCGATGTGTAGGTGTATATCCTCGTGGTCTCGCTGCTCACTGTTTGTGTGGATGTGGCGTAACCATGGAGACGGACACTATATTTGTCCTCCGCTCGAGCAGCCGTCGCAGTTAGCAAGATAGAGTGCATCTCAATTCAACTGGACCAGTTGTTTTCATTGTAATCTATGAATAAGTTTGGCATCTTGTCTTGTATTCTAATATTAAAAGGTGCTGACTGTTCTGGAAAACTGTATAATTTCATATTTCTTGTGATTGAACTATGAATACATGGATTCCATATTTTCATCAAAACTTTACACACTGGACTGTTTTTGTGTCTACCAACAAGAGACATAGTTAAGTTTCATTACCTTAATAGGTTCAATTTTAAATAAATACAGCCACATCTTAATTATAGTTTGTACCAAAATATCCTTCTCTGTTTTTCTTATAGACAGTTAATATTTAATATGCTCTTCAGTTGGGCTTTTGGGCTAATGCCTCAAATATAATAATTATTTCCTGCCATGTGTTTCATGATAATTATAGATCTTTTTTATTTATATATATGTTTTTCCTTTTGGGTGATGTAATCCCCTCCAATTACCCATGTTTTGGACCAGCACAAAATTACACTGGTTCAAATAATTTTGTTAACTGTATGGACCACGATCATGAGTAGATGTGTAGATATAGTGGTATTTGTAGTCTAATTCTTGTTTTAGCCAAATCTGAGTTATAAAACATGTGGGCTGTGGGCATTAGAAAAGTGCTGCAGAGTGGGAGCAGTGGGCTGTGCTTTGCCTCAAGTGATAAGTATGTTTTTTAAAAGTCAGAGCATCTGCGTTCTCTTCCACCTTGAGTTGTTTTCTGTAACTTTAGCTTGTAAAAATATTCCTCTCAATTTGAAGTAAAGCTTCAGAAAATGTGTGGGTTCCTTGTCTGACATTTAAAACGTTTATTGGAAGAATAAACCATGTCTGAGGTTATCTAGGTTTGTGTCAAATAGAATTGTTGAAAGAAAATCAAAAATCATGTACCGTATTAAGATTTGTATGGAAACTAAATGTTCATTAGGAAAGGATCGATACTGGAAAATCACATGACTGGGGGCAATCTGATCTTTCCTGAACAGTTTCATCCTTCATCAGAACTCGTGTAAGGCCACGTGGTGTAATAAACAAACACTATTACTATGTGTTGAAAATTACAATTTTGTCTCAAAAAGAGCTTTTAAAATGATCATGTGGATATCAAAATTGTATTAAGTATCAAGTCTTTTTTTGTATCAAAATTGATTTTAGACATTTTAGTATCACTGATTTTAGCAACATTAGCGTAAACTACGCACTGTTTTATTAATTTTGCTGGCTCTCTGTGTATGTCCCACCTTTTATTGGTATAATATGTAACAGAATTTATTTTTCAACACCAGGAATCTCAATCTTACTGTTGTATATATAGATATTCTACAGCTATAGAATAATGGATTGTTACATCGAAAATAATAAGTTAAAGGTGCATAAAGGTGCACTATGTAACTATTGTGGTGCAGGATCCGCCACCTGTTTGTCTCCATGGACATGGATTTGTTATTACTGTGCCTAGAATAATCCACAGTATAGCATTAAACACCACGAGGCTAAATTACAGGACATCTAATTACAAATGGTATCTTTAAAATGTTTAATCTCTCAGAATGGGGGAGATTACTGCATCTATATTTGTAATGGGAAATTCATTACGTAACAACAACATGAAGACCTGGTCACATCGCCCCTTTTGAATGAATGGGAGAGTGAGTCAATGGCCATTGTCCAGGGTGTAGCACGCCTTTGCACCATATTATCTGGGATAGGTTCCAGCCATCTGTGACCCGTATTACAGAAGGTAGTGATTCAAATTGTTGCAATATCCAAAAACAAATGGATTGTGCTGCTGAATCTCTGGAATTTGTATCAGCGATTTTCATCAGCAGAATATAACAGAACATCAAATAAACAGCACTGATGAGTCATGTTTTTCAGCTAACAATCAGAAACAGTAAATAACAGAATCATTGTTGTTTAGTATGGTTGGATTTAGCCTAGTAAGGGAGTCAGATAGGAAGTGATTGTTGAGTGAGACAGCTTGTGTGATACTTGGCCTGAATGCTGTAAGTTGAGAGCATCAGTGAAGGTAGGTGCGTGGGTGGATGTCGGCGCACCTCTCCTCCAATGGTAGCTCTGTGTGTAGGTGTGAGCGGGAGTGTGTGAGAATAGAACTGACTGATGTAGACGGTTAAAGCTTATAGCCTCTTAAATCATTGTTATGCAGTATGTTGTATAATTAGTTGCTTTATATACCGACTAAGGGACTTTATTTTTAGACTTAGACAAACTTTGCTGATCTACAAGGGAAATTATTTGGAAACGGCTCACACATCACAACATATTATAATAAAGATCAAAAATATGAAGTATAAAGTAAAAAACACATTAAAAATAAGTAGGAAAAATACAAAGGGAATGGTGTAATAAGGCATAATTATTGTATATGTACAAGAAAAAATAAAAATATAGAAATATAGTAAATATAGTATATCTCTGCTACATACAAGAGGTCGTAATGAGAAACAGTGCAAAGATTAAATAGTGATTGACACAGGTTTATCTATTACATAAGGGTGAGGAGTAGTAGTAGTAGTAATGATAGTAGTTGTAGTTGTTTGATCTATGCTGCCATGTTTTTCTGTGCTCAGTTCCTTTCAAGTTCGTTTGATCTTTTTCTTGATAATGAACAGTACCTAGCTGTGTTCTAGTAGGTTTGTTTGATAATTGTCTTAATTTTGTAATGCCACTTGAGATTAAAAGCAAGGAAATTCTGTTCATTGTCAGAAAATGTTTTTTATTTAACATTTAATAATATTTCATAACTACAATAAATACAGCAGAAACAAAGCTATGCCAGATTGCCAGATGGAGATTAGCAAGGGATTTCTAGTTCAGTTCTAAATCTGCTCTTTATTAAATTTTACTTTTGTGAAGTTTTAAGTCATGTTATAATGCTGTTATCTCTTCCAAAAAAAAAAGAGGAATTTATTATAAGTTGTGTTTTGTTTCATTCACACGTGTTTGAGTAACCTTTTATCATTACTAAGTACCTGCCCAAAGCTCAAAATGCTCTGCTCCAGTTTGTGATGTCATGAAGTGGTAATTTTCAAGTTAACACCTCCTTTTACCTTTTGTTCAGTAGAGACAGGCAATTCCAGAGCTGAACTTATCCAAATGCTTATAGTGAAGGTGTGTGGAGTTTAATAACATAGTGGAGCATTTGCATTACCATGTATTACCACATGACATCACAAGGTGGAACAGAGTGTTTTCTGCTGAGGGAAAACACTAAGAAGAACTAAGACTAAATATGCAGGATGTGAATTTAACAAAACACAACTCCGGGTATGTTTTTGAAAGAAGAAGAGTAGATCAGAAAATAGAGCAATATGGGCTATAACTAAGTCTGAAAATAAAATATGGAACTTATTAAATTCCCTTTTTGGACTCTAAAAACATTTTGTCCACATACCCCTTGACTGAAGTTATGTGTTGTGTCGAAAACAGTCAACAAAAAGTAATAACACTCTCCTCTTTTAAAGAATCCATAATGTATTCTAAACCTGAAAATTATTTATTTTTCTGTATTGATTTCCATCCCTTATTTTCGTAGTCAGAATATGTTATAAACTCTTATGTTTGTGTGCCTGTGCCCACTCATCAGTCACAGGGCTACGCTGGGCCCAATCACTGGATCAAATGGTAATTGTAGGCTTAAGCACAGTGTGAACCATTACACTGCACCACACAGCCGCAGGAGAACTGCAGAGAGATTCTGTTTACGGAATAAGTGACATTTTGACTGTGCTGGTTTTCACTGTCTATTTATGTAGATAAGGAAAATAATGCTAAATCTTGCCTTTGCCCCAGAGCAGTCTGTCTAATGCTGCTAATATATGCGTTTGAAGAGTGTACAAGCTGTGATTGTGGTATGAGTAACAGCGAGTGTTTAGATAAGAACACAATCAGACAAAAGTAAAACGATTAGATTAAAGAGGGATTACTGGTTGTGCTAAATCTTAGAGAGCAGTTCATGCATAAAGATTCAATATTGAGGTGAACGTGTGCAGATGTTGTTTGTACTTGAACACATGCTGGGGCTACATACATTATTTGTCTATTTAAGTTATAAATAATAAGTCATGACTTGTAATCTTTTCATGCACAAAAGATGAATTGCTTAGGGATACAGGCAGGAAGTGTATGAGTGTATTGAGTCAAAGATGCTAGCCCCAGCATATCCTGGAGAGCAGGGAGATGTATTGTGCAAAATGTTGAAGCTGTATTGATTTTCCACCTGCGTCCTAACCCCTATAGGCCACCCTGCTGCACTGTCCTTATTGAAAACCACACTCACAATGGCCTATGGTTTATTGAAGGGCTGTTTCACTAAGAAGACATATAGTTTGAGTCTTGATTTGAGTGAGTACGGTAGTTCATTTTGATATACTGCATAGTTCTTGGCCATACAGGAACAAACTTTCAATTTAACCACTGATTTATCTATTCTAATAAATTGGCTGGTAATCATTATTCATCATTGATTTGTCAGCTATGTTTCGCTTTTTATTTTTCCCACAATGGGTAAATTCCAGTCTTGGAACACATGGTTTTATAGCCTGATTCATCAGCCGGTTTGACTACGTAGGAACCATCTGACCTCGCAGTGTTAGAATTCGTTCACTCGACCGTAGGTGGGTACTTTTTAAAATTTAACCAATCGTTGTTATTTGGTCGCAGCGTATGTAATGCACCGCTAACGGGGCTAACTGGTATATTAAGCACTTCTC